CTCATTAGATCATTCCTATATATATCTTTATCCACCAATGAATTAATGTGCCCACTTATCGGTGTTTAGGATAAGATGAGCATCGGTGCTCATTAGATCATTTCTGTATATATGAAAATTCGTATATGAATAAAGAAAGCAAGTTCTTGTGTAAGGGACGGAGGAAGCATTTATGAAAATTCGTGACATGCGTGTTATCCTTAACTTTGTTCCTCACACTTAATTAGAGACTATTGCTCTTCCCAAGAGAATGCAGTTGAACATAACTTTGACTTGTTGCCCTTGCATTGCAAGCATTTATCATCCACGCTAAATTTTAGAGTTGACTCATTCTATCGCCTTAAATCTAACGCTATTAAGCATCTGGTTGGGTTTTAATATGCGCGTTTGAGCCCAGTTTTGGAGAAAATACGGGGTTGTTCTTTTTGTATTTCAATTTTATATTTTGAGTTTTGAATTCATTTTGGATTTTATACTTTGAGTGTTCATTTTGAGATTGTTAAAAATGTGTTCTTTTTGGCATTTTGAAAACACCAAAAACGCGTTTTGAAAATGTTGACTTGATTATAATTGAAAACACACAAAATAACAAATTTGTCGTTTTGGGTTTTATTTGTAAATTTTTAACTTGTTTTCAAAAACGCATTTTCAAAAATAGGAAGAAAACATGTTTTCACTGTTTTGGAAAATCGAAAACAGAAAACGGTTTGAAAATGGTAAAGAACAGACCTTGAGATTTTTTTATTCAAGCTTAATTGGTTTTTTCCATTCCCAAAACTACCCCATACCATATACTTTTGGAAGGGTTTATTATCACAAAGCGATCTTATGTTTGGTTTTCAGTGTGTAAAACGTCCATACGTTTCAAGTTTTTACATTTTCATACATCTTTCCACGTTTCATTGTTGAAAATGTCATTTTCATTACTTTTTATCCAATTTCTCAATTAAAAATTGAAAAATGACAAATATATTCTATAATTAAATAAAAGAAAAGAAAAATAAAAAAATAAAGAACAAATTGCAATCTTACTCCAATTTTTTTTTTCAAAAAAGTACAAATAAATTTCAAATAAATTAAATTAAATCAAATAAATAAATAAATAAAAACCCATCTTCTTCTTTCTCCCTCTCCCTCTCCCTCTTCCTCTTCCTCTTCCTCTTCCACCCCCACCCCTACCCTTCACCATCACCCTCACCACAAAACGAAACCAAAAAATAGAACGCCTATCGACGCTATTACCAAGAAAGCTACGGGCCACCACCAAACCCTAAGCACCGCCACCTCGCCACCATTTTCTTCTCCAAAATTCCTCAAATTTTCCTTTAACAAACAAGAATAAATGTGATTGACATTTGCTGATGTTTCTATGAAAAACGGCTGCTAAGATGTGGGAAGAACTACAGATAGAGATGGATGAACTATCTCCAATCAGGAATCAAGAGAGGAAAAATCACTACCGATAAGGTATTCAACCAAAAATGCCCAATCATTCGACGAAATGCCCTGACCAAGTGACCCGAATGCAGTTGAACCAAAAATAGACAAGCATTCACTGAAATGTCGTGACCAAGAGATCGAAAATACAGTTGAACTAAAAAAACACAAGCATTAGAAAAAATGCCCTAAAAAGAAAACCAAATCTGAACTGTTCACTGGATCAAAGGATGGATAAAGGTGAAAATGGGTCGGATCTAAATGGAACTTGATCGTGGATGGTTTTTCTGAGGAAGAAGACGCGGAAAGAAGAAGCGGTGGTGATGGGAATAAGAAAAGAAGCAATAAAATATTTGGTTTTACTGTGTCACATGACGGTGATGATATAGGACGATGTTCGTTGGGGAGTGAGCCGCCGGTTGTAAGCCCAAGATAGGCTAACCAAGAGGTGGGTGAATTGATTTTTAAAACTTTTTCGAAAATTAATCTAAATTCAAATAAGTGAAGACTAAATAGATTAATTCAAATAATAAGTACAAGTATAAAAGCGATAAGTAAAAGGGAGATAGACAGTGCAAACGATATGTTATGGAGGTTCGATCCAAACCAACGATCTACGTCCCCCGTTACCAAG